ACAGTGGGATAAAATACTGTAGTGACCAAGCCTTACGTTGGCTCCGAGCGTCCAGGAGGCCATCTGCGCAAGCGCGGGCGCGGATCTAAGCTTCTCACTTCACCGAATGATCTATCTTTTCTTGTTGTCGGGCAGCGGCAGGTAGGCCGTAGGCCGTGCCGCACCCAGACGAGGCCTGCATGCAAAGAACTAGCATTATCCTAACTAATTTACTCTCATCTCTACTAACTAGGATATGGCCTAATATTGATGTTGGCTGTCGTTGGGATGCTGTTGGAGAATAATACTCCGGAGTACCCCATATCTGATACTAGTTTACCTTCACAAAACACCCATACTTTTAGTGGGGGAATTTCTTAGATAAGACTCCGCACACATATACCAAAAGAAACCTTGTAACCTGGGACTTCGTCCTACCCCCGGTGGACACGGATATAAAGTTATTCCCGGGGTTAGGCGCATTACAGCGGTTAGCTAGCCACTGAGATGCATTAACCCGCAGTTGAAATAGGTTGCTGGTGCTACTGTATCATTAGAAACCCACCACTAAGAGCATCCCCACCGGTTGAAGTAAACATAGAGCTGAAAAGTCCCGTTTATTGGGTGCGTGCTGTAACAGTAGTACATCACTTCATAACCAATCCACACCGGTTGGCGGATATTGTAGCCCTGATGGAGCAAACTCGCGTTGGACGCCCACTGGCGATTGAGGTTTTGGAGCTCTCGCCAGTCGAGAGTTTAGTGCAGCAGGGTTGGCATACATTCTGTTGTCTGTAAGATTCATATTCATGCTGCCGGCGTGCTTCAGGACGTCGGGATGGCATGCTTCGTTGAAGAAGTCCATTGGGACCTCAATCCATAGAACTGTAAACGACCCAACAGATCTGTTGAGAAATCTGTGCTTATGGAGCGTTTACATCATGATGTAAAATTTATTGGCAACCGGTGTGGGTCTGAAAAATGTAAATTTTGCTGATGTAGTGATGTACTTTGAAGATTTTTACATCTCTAATATCAGCCGGTGGGGATGCTCTAAGCTTATACTTCGAAGTACTACGTACTACCTCTGTCCGAAAGTGATTGCACGAGTGTAAGTTTACGGTACAATTTATTATATTATACAGTTTATTGCACGTACACTTTACTACAAATTTATTCAATAGCTGTCTGTATAAATAGATGTTTACAAATATAAATGATCATCATTCCCACTGTTTTTCGTGGATAAATCAGCTGTCATTCCTATTTACTGTTAGGACCTTTGGGGGCTCTAATTGGATTCCATTTGAAATTTTGTATTCAAAAGATTCCTAAAGTGTGGGAGGTTCACTGATTTGGAGTAGGTACCCTAATTTCACACCTGAAATGTCCATTCGTGCAATCACTTTCGGACAGAGGTAGTAGTATTTATTTGTGCAACAAATCCTCAGTTCAGGCGTCCTGATTGGCTGTTGTCAGGTATCTCAGAATTCCCCCATTAACAGTAAAGGTAGCGTTATAGTTTGGGTGTTTTAAAAGTAGGATATACCTGCTCTGGGGGAATAAATCGCTGTTGGATGACGCAAGACACTATCATGGATATTTGAAATCCATATAAGTATGCGCAGTACTGTACAGTATTTGTAGCAACGATCGAGTGTGTAAGAGCATCTCCACCGCACCTCCAAATGGTCTGGTCAGAAATAACCAAAATACCCAATTTTTCATCTCCACCGCACCTCCAAATGGTCCCTTTAAAATAGAGAGACCTCGAATTCTGGGCAAAATCGAGCGATTTGGAGGGACGTCGAAGGTCTCCTTATCTATTCTACATACAAAATCCTACATAAATAAATCCAATAGTACTTTGAGTTAAACAACGTTTGCACGGATGGTCATGTGCTGCGAAGCATACACTGGTCCGCGGTAAAACTTGGTCAAGGCAACTCTACAAAAATTAAATAATTTTGTAATTGTGCCGAAGTAGAATACCCTTCATGGAAGGGCATACGACACTCATACCGTTCAAGGACGAGCTGCTCGCATAAATGCACGATCGCTGCGGCACCGAGCAATACGTCCGAGCATTACACATCATGCAGTGGGTCAAGAGGAACAAGCGCGAATGGCTCACGGTGTACTGCTGACAAACAAAATCGAGGCGGTGACGTTCAAATCGTTTCGTTGCCTACTCCTGCGCTTCGCATACCGCAACTGCTTTCGCCATCGAATTCCATGCCTCAGCAAGGCCACTCAACAAGTCTAGGACGAGGTGTGGCTTGGTTACGCCGCTACGTTTTGGAACAAGTACGGTCACTACGACAAAAAACTCATCGTGAACGTCGACGAGACATCTGTCTATTTTGACATGCCTCCGGGAAAGACATTGGCTGAAATCGGTCAGTCGAGCAAGGTGTCAGATGGTGTAGCGATGTGACAGGTGGGTTAACGGTTTGCCACCACCTTGCCCGCACCCAGCTCCTAAGTGCCTAGCTCATGATGCACCCTAGCTAATGCTTGCCTGGGAATGTGTCTCAAGGGCAAGCATGGCTTAGAATCGCTAGCCTAGTGAAGTTCCCCAATGTCTCAACCGCACCCGCATTCATTGTATACAAAAGTGCATATTAGTGTAGAAGTAGTGAAGTAGATTAAGAAGATTTCATAGTGATGAGGATTAAGGATATCTTTGTAGATCTTCAGTTAATTCATTGTGCATTTTGCCCTCAACTACACACGCTTCCTCCCGCAGGGCTACAGATGGTGACAAGCACTCTCATCGTCTCACGGCTGTTTTGTCAAGTCGCGCAGACGGTACATTTAGATGTCATATCATTGTACGAAATAATGTATTTTAGGTGAGAAATTACCCTTGCTCTTCATACTCAAAGGGACTCCTGGTGGTGTGATTGAGCGTCAGGAGTTCGGTACGTACCCACCTGGCCATTTCTATGTGGTCCAAAGCAATGCGTGGATGGACGAACGCGTGTGGTCCATGTACCTCGACGAGGTGTTTGCTCCTTGTGTTGATGACGCGTCCGTGTTGTTGGTGGACAATTTGGCATGTCACGTGTGGGAGGCCTCCCACGACAAGGCTGCTGAGACCTACTTCAGTGTTGTGGAACCATTACCCCTAAACTCAACCAGCCGCTGCCAGCCTCTCGACGTTGGGGTTATGGGGCCTCTTAAGGCGATGCTCAAAACTGCCTGGCTGTTGGAAGAAGACAACCGCAGTGGTGACGAAATCTTTACTGTCCAAGAAAAGCGACTGGCAATGGTAAAACGAACCAATCTGGTATGGGAAAAGATTACATCAGAATCGATAGTAAAGTCGTTTGAAAAGGCGATTCATACTGTGTTAGAAATATAAATACATTTATTTGTGTGGTATAGAAATTGGAAATATTAAGCTTTGGGAAAAACTTGGCCCACCCCGAGACTTGAACCCGGGGCCCATCCACCACCGCCTCACCGTCTAACCGATTTGCTACGCGTCAAGGGCTTGGCTTGTTACATGGTGCATCGAATTGCTCAGAATCACCTGTAAGATATAATTTTGAGTACGTATGAGTTCTTACAAGATCTATGCAATGGAAATTACTGGTTTATATGTCAATTTTTCTAGCCAATGAGACTGGACTAACTCTCCTCCCATGACACTTGCAACGAGATTCATTATAATTTCTTGGCATGGAGTACCACTATATATACAAATTCCAAGTACACGTCTAGAGGTGCACTGACCGAGTTTTACCGCAGACCACTGTAGGTGCGGGTCATGGTTGTACATAAAATCTTCGAAGGCAGTACTAGTACTGTACTAGTACTTGCCGTCGTACTGAACTACAGTACAGTACTAATACAGTAATACGCATGAGCCGTCTCAGAAAATGAGCATTGTGCCAAGGAAAGCTACTACTAGTACTACAGTACTACGTAGCACAGTAACGTGGCCGACCATTGATGTGCCGATTTTTCTTCATTTTCATTTTTGAAGATTTCAGTTGTTTTTTCGAATCCTTCCTTGATACATACAGTACTCCCCCGCAATAGTGAACCCTTCTGGCGCATACGTTTTTAAAGCTATCAAAGGAAGACAGTTATTAAAATAAAGGGTAGGTACCTTACACCACCTGATTGGCTTCTCAACAATGGATATCAAATTCGGATTCAGGAGGGAGTTGATACCCTGGCAAAAGGCAAAACGCACGCCAAGGACAACGTACACTTGGGTTCCATTAAAGGTTACGCATATTTTTAATCAATTCGTACACGATGGAGTCAACCATTCGAAAAATTCATACCAAGGAGCTGGCTGGGCTCGTCGTGGTCGCAAGCATCTCGTCACGGATTTGCATTGCTTTGACACGGATTTTTGGTCGGTCCACTTACAGATGGATGGTCGGCCCACTTACATTGGGGACGCTCCATTCCTCGCATTTCCGAATACATTTAATTTGTTTGGCTTCTAGCTTTGGTGTGCGGGGTTGCTGCTTGGATTTATGTGTCGGGTGTATGCCGTCGCCGTCCACCATGGAGTTGAGCCACGCTGGCATGGTTGACTTAACCCATTGGCGCAACTCAATCCCTTTGACATGCAGTATTCCACTTGAGCCTTCTTCTGCTCAATTGTCAGCCGGATCCTCGACGCTGGTGACGGCATTTGTTCGTCAGGTGGTTTGTGTCTGTTTTGAATTTTGAAACGCCTCTACAATTTTATTGCTGATTACCTCAAAAATGTTATTAGGTTTTGTGGGATTTAATATTTTAGTGGGTTCACTATTGCGGGGGAGTACTGTACTTTGAGTACATTTTTGGATGGATGAGCCCAAAGTATATCGATTTACTTCCTCTGTTCCAAATTACAGTGATGCTCCCTTTTTTGCTCGACGGTATTTTCATCAATTATAAAAGGTATTGATTTACAAAGAACTTGACAAATATTGAATTTACAAAGTCTTGTTAAGAGAGCAAGAAGCCCATTGACATGGTCGAGCCCACTCGAAGGGACTCAAGTGCTGCCATCAACGACATTTAAGGTAGGATACCAGTGTGAGCCCAGCAATTTCTAATTGTAGATGGCGATACTTCATCCCACGCCACCGCATTGCTTGAAGCATGTCACATGCATACGGGTTCTTGCGCTGTTTGTCCGTCACAAACCCACCACCAGTAATGGTGTCAACGATTTGAATTGCATGGTCCAGTTGACGTTTCTTGTAGTACATTTTGAAGGTTGATATGATTACAGCGTCCATAGACTGGAGCACCGAGGTGGTGTTGCGTGGAAGCATGAGAACGCGAACATTGCCGACATCGGCCCGAACCACTTGGTCTAGGAGTAGCAGTATTGTTCGATTTCTTCTCTTCATTTCTTCGTTGAGCTCCATGATCCATTCCGAGAAGAGAGCAATCGTCATCCAAGCCTTGCGGTTGCTGTGGTAGTAGAGACGCAACTCTTGTGCAGACATGCTGACAAAGCATCGGGGCTTCTCAGCCTTTTCAAATGAAGAATGACGGCAACCTGTGGGACCCATCGACATTCGCAGTGAGGGCAACATAGATTCTGCACTTGTCTTTCTTGAGACCGAATAGTGGCTTCCTTGACATTGATGTCTTCGGCTGGGCCTTGTAGATGATTCCCGTCTCGTCCATATTGGACACATCACGTGCGTCGTAGAACTGGGTTTCCAGCAGCAGGCTTTTGCAACCGGCATTTGTGACCGAGGGGTCGACTGACGCGCTCTCACCGTGGAGCCGATGTACCCACAGGTTGTGACGCCGCTGAAATTTAAACAGCCATCCTTGGGATGCGCGAAACTGACTTATGCCAAGAACAATAGCAAGTCGAAGGGCCATTTGCTTGATTAGGGGTCCGGTGATGCATACGTTGTTCGTGTTAGCTGCTTCCACCCACGCGGCCAATTGCCCATCGAGCTCGGGGAATTTTGGTGGTCTTAAGTTGGATCGGCGGTGCTTGGCTTTATTGTCGATGTTGCAAGTCGTCGCCTCTCGCTGGTCCTTTACAATGTGACCGACAGTGCTTGCATGCATCAAGCATCCGAATTGCTTGCTTGCCCATACAGCTAATTGGGGGTATGTTACCGACCCTGGAGGCTGGCTAGTGTAGAAGATACGCAATGAATCTTTTTGTTTCAAGGTTAATCTCTTTCCACCCGATGGCATCGCGGCTATTCGGCACCAATTTTGAATTTCAAATCCTGGACCTCTCAAATTTTACTCTTTTGATTTGCATCATTTGATGGAGTTTATCTCTTTTGGACGCGCGCAAAAAAGGGAGCTTCACTGTACTGCGGACACAAGCAAAAGTCACTTTTTCCAAATTACTGTACCCATTTCTCATTGATTGGTCAATTCAGCCAGTGCAAGCGTCTGTACTCTCCACATCGGCGGTCATTGAGTTGTGGAACTTTCGAAATACTGGTGTATTTGAGTTCAAATCGACATCTTTGGGATCAAGCGCGTAAGCCATCAGTTGTCCATGGCAGTCAAGATGAAAATGATGACGATTTTGACGAAGGTGATGAAGACATCGGATCTGACATAGAGTGAAATAGATGCCTCAATATATTTTTTATTATTGTCAATACAATTCAATATATTGCAATAATTGATTGTTCGACTTGTCTAGACCAATACAATATACAATACAATATTTATGAGGCCTGACCGCAGCATTCACATTGACCAGCGTAGTCACCAATGCTCCAGCTGAACGATTGCGCGATGATCGTGCAGCAGGAGTCTTCGTGATGAAGGGCCACATCCCGATCTCGCCGTCGAAGACAAGATTGCCACCTGCATCGTACTGAGGGCGCGTCACGGCAGCAAGGAATATGACCTTCGGAAGGAACCTCTTGCTTTTGCACGCTCGGCCTTCGGGTGCTTCTCCTTTGGTAAGATAAACCTTTCGGTGATCCTTGTCCGCGTTGAACCATTTTTCGTCCAGATGCACGATGTTGGCCGCTGCCATAGCCGAGCTCTGTTGGCTCTGTTGGCATCGGTTATCAAGGGTTTCAAGCGCGAAGAGCGGTGCTGCAGTGTCCCGACCTTGAGGTTGCGGCAGGTAGTTCCCATCAAATGACCAGTGGCGACGGATATGTCCCGAATGGTTGACTCTTGCTCTTGTGGGACGCCTTGCACAAGTTGAATGACATGATGCTGCGCGTAGTGCAACTTGCGCCCGACGCGGGCCGCCTTCTTCCATGCATACGAGCCCTGATTGATCAAACCCTTCCAGATCGACGAAACGGTATTGTGGTTGATTCCAAGTCGGGTTGCAGTGGCCTCGCCGGAGCCACGTGGCATCTTCCCAAAGGTCAGGAGGCATTGGAGGCTCTTGATGACCTCCACCTTGTTAGCGTCCGTGAGTTCTCGTCGTGAGTGGAGATCTGAACGGGTTCTCCACGGTTCGCCGAGCGGCGCGTCCTCGCGGCTCCTCCATCCGGTCACGCGATCGTTCTTCGGCGTTCGTTGGCGTTTCCTCGCCGAAGAAATGTTCGCGTACCATCAATAGCTCAACAATGAACTAACGATATCTGCTTTCTCTCCCGCTTCTTCTTGGCTTTCGGCCACGGGATCTTTGTCAAGGTAGCAAATATAACACTGACGTAAATGAGGTCAAACATACCACGAGGCGCCTACTGACTATCATTCACTAAAGTACTCAGCACCTCCACTTTGGTATCGGAACTTTTGACACGGCATACACACAGAGTGTGTGTGTTTGCAATGGGTCAAACCGACGCGCGACCCAATTGCTCTGCACGCTGCAGAGCAGTTAGGCATTGAACGCATTTGTTTAGATTGAGGAGAATATTGACTTACTTGCTATGTGTGGTGCATTCATTGTCAATGCCATGATGAATTAGTGTGTCAAAGCGAGTCGGGGCAGTGACGTGGCGAGTCGGGGTGAGTTGTGGATTTCCAGCATATTTCTCAACATTGTCTATTGTCGATATTTGATTGGCTAAGAGTCAATTGATTTGTCACTTTTCTATTTTGATTTTGACAATTAAATTCTACGGTATTTCTATTTTTATTGAAGGAGGCATAGAGTATTTCTAATTCTGATTCACGCAATTAATTTTGGAACGGAGGGAGTAGCTTAGGACTCGCCAGAGAGTGTAGTCAGGTTCCTCCCAAATTCTCTACTAGTACTATGTAGTATTACTCCGGAGTATTTGAAGTGAGAGCAATTTAGGATATTGCCAGGTCATTGCATGCATGCCTCGTTCGGGAGCGGCACGGCTTACCTGCCGCTGCCCGACAAGAAGAAAAGATAGATCACTCGGTGAAGTGAGAGGTTTAGATCCGCGCTTGCGCTCGGTGTCAACGTTAGTGTTGGTCACTACGTTAGGTTTCATCCAATCGAGTTTATCCAATTTCATATCGAAATGTAATCCATGCTAAAGTTCAACAATTATACTACGTAGTATTATATTATTGTATCCAAGGTTGCTGTAAATATTAACAGTTAACATGCTGGCTGTCCAAATCCAGGGCAATAACCTATTTGGCCGTGGTACACGTTCGCGAAAAAGCCAAACAAGTAACCATTTCGGTATGGAATGCAGGGCTACTACACTATAACCATTCTCAGTGTTGTTGGAAGTTTGAGACCAAAGTGCTGCTGGGGCAAACTATCTGTCGAATATGCTGGCAACCCTGGAGCTCAGCAAATCAACCGTGCTCATCAACGTGTGACGGTCGTAGGGGTTAGACGCACAAAAATTTCGAAGGTCCGGAGGTTCAGACTTCAGGACAGGATACTCTCGGCTGAGCCAATAAGAACACAGCAAGAAAGGAGTAGATCCAATGTTAGGCAAATGTAAAAGTGAAGTATCTAAATGCTAGCTAAGGCTGACGACCTTTGGGGAAAGGTCGTGTAGAATAAAAGGCAAGACGGCCGAATTCTAAGGTAGACGGCCCATCGAATAATATACCTTTGTGATGGCAGTACCACGATGTTGTATATCAGTACAAGCCCATGCACCAGCTCCGTCACAAACGGTGAACTGAACATTGAAAACAGAATCTTCACACAACCAAGGAAGTCATAAATCCAGTACACGGCACATATATTATTCTGGCGACTCTGTCGGACCCTGTTTTAGTTGCCACACCAAGTCGTTTGAAACACAGTAAACGACACGCATTGTGCTTCAGTGAACCCGTTTGGAAAGCACGCACCCAACAACTTGGTGTAGCATCCCTTGCATTCAGTGCAGTCTCCCCCAACGGGAGCTGACGTTGTCGGCGTCACAGGGGCTTTGGTCGTCGAAGGCTTGGGGGCTTTGGTCGTCACGGGTTTAATTGACGTCATAGGGGATTTAGACGTCGCAGGAGTCACAGACGTCGTCACAGGAGCCACAGACGTCGTCACAGGTGTAACAGAGGTGGTGATCGGGGCCGAAGTGGAGCCACCGGCCAACGCGTCTTTGGGCACCAAATTGGCTGCCGTGAGGTCCTTGATCACGTTGTTAATCTTGACGCCGCCGTTGAGGCACCCCCCGCAGTTGTGCAGGGCCACCACGGCGTTGTCCTTGGCACTCAAAACGGGCGACCCAGACGACCCGCGTTCCGTGTCAAGGGTGTACCCGACTTCGTCCGCCACACACGACGGAATGCTGATGCTTTCGATGGTGCCGACAGCGCCTGAGTCGACGATCGTGGCAATGCGCTTGGGCTTGCCCGCGGGGTGTTGGGGGATGTAAATGGGTTCCCCCAACACAGGGCCGGACGCGCGGGCTTGGAGGTACCCATACGAGTCCAAGGACACGCCGTTGGCGAGCTTGAGCTTGACCAGCGTAAAGTCGTTGGCCGGGTTCGTGTACACCAACTCGGACGACGTGGCCACCGTCACCCCCTTGCAGGTCCTCCCGGGGACGGTCTCACAGGTCGTGCATTCGGCCCCAAATTCAAACTGGGTGTTGGACGCATCGTTGGCGTTGCCGATGCAGTGGTTGTTGGTGATCAAGTGGCCTTCCGACCCAAACAGCCAGCCCGTGCAAACGGACCCGCCGTTGATACGGAGCAGGGCCACGGCCTGCGCCTTTTGGTACTTGGGGGCGTCCGACGACTTCAAGCACACGGCCGACTGGGAGTCATCCTTGCCGCAAATTGCTTCCACTTGGCCGTCTAGGTCAACTTTGGGGAACCCATGGGCGAACTTGTCAATCAAAAACGCGTTCGGGGCGTCGTTTGCGAGCAACGAGTCGATCGAAGAAGAAGTAGAACGAGGAGGGGTGTACGTAATAAACGCACTGTCCCCGTCGATGAACTCGGCGTAAAAGTTGGTTTGCGTCACGTTCGTGTACTCGTGGAATTGCGAGCCGTCGGGGGAGCTGATGGTGAGCAATCCCCCCACAGGGATGTTGACCGAGGCAAAGTGGAGCGACAGGTACGCCGCGTCTGGGCGGTTCAGTTGGTACGAGAATGGAATGTTCACATTGGAAGTCAGCAGCACCAGCTCGTCGGCCCCGATCACGGGAGCAGATTGGCATTGGAAGGCCGACACGGCCGACGCTGCCAACGACAGAAAAGACACGAACGCGGACACGGCAACCATGGGAAGAATTGTAAAATGAAAAATGTTTTCGTTGTCTGACTGAGTTGATACCGCCTTCGACGTTAGCCATAAATGATCAAGTCAGATCGCTTGACGCTTACGTAGAATGTGCCACCGGATGTATATATGTGTCTTTCCAAGGGCTCTGTGTTAGCTTAGATTGCTCCCCGCATGTGTGCTCCATTCAAATTGCTGAGGGCAGAGTATGTTGCGACTCGGTGCTTACAGTTACGTGTAGGTTTATAATCCAGTCTGTAAGCATAGATTTTACAGTGAGTGGCCGCACGTTTAGCCTACCGGAACTTGGGAGCTAGTGTGAGCTCATACTGTACTACTACCCGTTAGTAAACTTACCTCATAAAAATAGTTCCACTGTTGTTATTGTGGGTCTACTCGAAATTTCCATGTTCGATTGGTTGAATCAAACAGTGGGGCGGTTTTACAGTTAGAACCGATCAAAAACCTCTGAATTAGTATAATTTATATATATATATAGAGGTTCCGTTGAGCACAAGAAGGTGCAATTCGAAACTTGCCAGTCGAAGCGAACGCCGACGCCACCATCACCGACACCGGCCATCATCACCGACACCGGCCATCATCACCGATATTGGTAGGTTCAAGGAAACTACACCACAGCGCACTCCCATCGAGAGCAATCACGTGCGCACATGTACCCCGATTGCAACCGTACCAGTACTTCATGAGACGTAGTGCATGTCTGCATGAGAACCCGAGACTATAGATGAGTAGGCAGTGGTTAACTGTGTCGGCGATCACGCTTTCGTGTCGCCGCGCCTTTCAGTTCCTGCTGTTCATTTCCCAGATACTATTTGCTTGGCTGAATTGAGGTATTTTTGGCGAATCAAATCATGAGGTCGATTTATTGCCACTTCGCGTAAACGACCCAAAACCTTGGACTCCACGGACCCCCACCCCATGTGTGGTTATTCCCGGGGCAAGTTGCATCGCTACAGTGAACGACGTAGGGCCTGGCGCACAGTGGTACAATCAAATATGAAGAACAAAGTGTGCTGCGTGAAACGTGATAATGGAAAAAGCTCTGCTTCAACTTTTTGCATTCTTCTAATTGGAAGTATTTCAACCAATAGCTAAGTGACTTCACCCGGGATTGAACTCGGGGACAATTGACATGACTGGTAGGCTTATTTTGCACACTACCTTCAGTCTGAGGATACCTCCGCGTTCTAAACGTGGTGATTAGGGTAAGTTGGCGAAATGCTGAATGACCTAAACTAAGTAGCATTGCGGTGTGAGGGGTGAAGGATTAGCATGAGGTCCCGTGGGCAGTGTGAACTTTTTATACTTTTTCAATCTATATGAATATTTGTATTAAAAAATGTAAAATTATATAAATAGTGAAAAAACACACAACAATTACCAAAGTATTGGATTAAATTTCAAAAATTGTTCACGCCTTTTCAAATGACTTGCGGATGGTATCATCCTTCATGACATCTCAAACCTTGATTGACCGCTTGATCATGGCAAGGCGCTTTTCCGCTGCAGTGACAACTTTTTCTTCCTTGATCCACTCGGAACGGCACATTTGCTTGAACAGGCCCATAACCCCAACGTCCAGGGGTTGCAGAACACTTGTGCTGTTCGCAGGAAGTGGTTGCAAGTAGGCCACAGAAAAGAGTTCGTCTTCAAGGATCTTGTAGGTCTTCTTGGAAACGTGGCACTTGAGGTTGTCAGCGAGCCCGACCGATGTACAGTCAATGTCGGACATCAGCACTTCCCCCAGGTAATACGACCAAACCCGTTGGTTCATGAATGCAGTCTTTTGAGCTGCATACACAGGTCCAACAGCATACGTTGGGAGTTCGTAACGCTCGATGTCGCCGCTGCGAGTGCCCTTGACGATGATCAACATGGGTATTTTTTCCCCATACAGCAGTTTAGAACATTTGACGACGTTTCTTTTGTACCGTTTGCCCGGATTGACAGCACGACCGTAATCCGGTCGGAGTGCTTCTGCGTCTCTTTCACTCGCGATGACTTGCCAACTTTGGCCAGTGTCTTCCCCGGTGGCATGGTAGTACACCGGGGTTTCGTCGACGTTGATCCACGCGCGCCGTGGAAGGTGCCCAAACTTTGAGAAGAACTCCGCCGAGAATACTTCTTGTACGACTTGAAGCTCTGACTGGGTGGCCTTGGTAGCGCACGGCACTCGATGGGAGTATCCATGACGGTTCGCGAACTTCAGGCACCATTGGAACAGGCTCTTGTATGCGCGGTCATCATTGACTTGGCATCCATGTACACTTCGAGCAAAAGCGGCCAGTGTGACTTCATCCAGGTGACCAGATGTGCAGTCGTGAGGAAGTGTTCACCGTCCCGCACGGACTCCAGGAATGCGACCAAGTCGCTTGAGAAGTCGACAGATTCCAGGCGTCCTTTGCCATGAAGAGTTGCCCGCGGGTCATGGGTCTTTTTCGACAGGTAGCTGGAAGAGTTCGCGACCCACCGTCGGAATGTTGCATCGGGGATATGGTACAACTTGGCAAAGAGTCGGAGGCTCGAGCATGGTCAAAGCAGAGCATACATGCGGAGGAAGATACGAATCTATCGCACAACGTATCGGCGTTGTCGACGCTTGATAATGGGCTTCGGCGACGGCATCGCAAAATCGGATATGACACGTGAGACTCAAAATTCCAATAAGCCAATCAAATTCAATTTAAAATAGTCAAAGTACCCAATCACGGTGAATGAGGTCGAAGGTCAGGTATTGGCTAATATTAGCGTCTATTGATTGCATTTGTTCATTCCCACATTTATAAAAATATTCCTGGTACCACAGTGCGCCAGTCCCAACGTCGTTATCTGTAATGCAGGGCCAAATGAGATTAGTTCATGGACCAGATCCGAATCGTACTATCTTATTACGAATGAGGATGCTGTTGAAATGCACTTAACCCCTAGGTGGTATATCTTGTTTTGGTTTACACTGAATTTGACATACTACACCATTTTTCCTTTTAAGTTCAGGTATATTTCGTCCGTCGCACAACTGATTCACCCCTTGTCCGTTATTTTCGCCAAACATTCGATATATTTCGTCCAGACGCTTCATGATATCCGGTATATATCATCCCACAGCCGGTATATTTCACACGTTATTCAATAAGTATATTTCAAATGATGTACCATCACCTATTTCAACTTTAGATGCAAATCGAGTACTTCGACGTAAGTCGCAGGCTCATAGATATGAGTCGACATGAATCGTCAACCACCTTACACTTTGCAACTCGAGTTGTTCGACGGTCTAGCGGAAAACTTGGGTACTATGGAAGTTAGTGCCTGATGAAGCAACGCGTAGATTTACTTGATTTGTGTCTCAATCGAAATATGCTAAGAGGTATTTCTGAACAACACCGTGGTCCTGACAACCACAGGCTCATCTCGCCACTTTCCAATGCCCTCCCCTCACGCCGAGTCTCGAACGCAACTCAGCGGATCTGGAAAATCACGAAACCTATCCGACGACAACCGCCAGGCGGTGCTCAACATGTTGCTCTCGAAGAGCGATTTCGGCAAGCGAAAGCATGGGTCAGTTAACGATGTTGCTGAGCACTTTAACTGCCATCGTTCAACTGTCTTAACGACCTGGAACAGCTATAAAGCTGCATGCGTGTCGACCCAGATCGGACCATCGCCGACGCTCCCAAAATCACGCATGAAAGGTATTAGGTTAAAGAGAATGCATTTGTCAGAGGTATTAATTTTTCACAGTTTATACTGCGTTTAGGAAATTGTGGTGCGAAATTGAAGTAGACTTTAGAGGCGATTGAAGCTGCAATCAAAGCAGTTTCATTCCACAACCGTCAAACCACTCGTGCACTGGCGTTCCATGCCAACATCCCCTGAACGACGATCCTGCGACACATGAAGCAAACCGTCGCCTTCGGTGCAAGTCATCGACCTCCGACCGCTGCTCACCGACGCCAACAAGGAAGAACGCGTCAACTTTGCGCTATCGTTCGTCAAGTGAAACCAAGTTTTCGAAGACATGCACAACGTCGTGCATGTTGACGAAAAGTGGTTCTACTTGACAACGGTCAAGGGCAAGTTCTACGTGTACGACGACGAAGTGCTGCCCCACCGACAAGCGAAGTCCAAGAGGTTCATAACGAAGGTTATGTTTCTGTGTGCGGTGGCCTGGCCAAGTTATGATGTTCAGCGCAACCGCATGTTCGACGGGCTCATTGGCATGTGGCCGTTTGTCGTCAAGGAGCCGGCGCAACGAAGCAGAAAGAATCTCCCAAGATGAACGTTGGTCACGCAGCCACAGACCGTGACCTCTGAAGTGTACCTTGACAACCAAGGTCATTCCAGCAATTCAGATGAAGATGCCACTTGCCATGAAGAGGTCGACAGTGTTTATTCAACAAGACAATGCGGGACCCCACGCGCAATCGGTGAACAACTCCATTGAAAGGCGCATCGACGGCGATGGGTGGACCATCAAAATGCGGAACCAGCCGCCAAACATCCCGGACTTTAATGTCCTAGATTTAGGATTTTTTAATTATATTGAAAGTTTACAGTATCAATCAACGCCATCGAATATCGATGAATTGATTGATGATGTTGATGCTGCGTTTCCCCCGCGAGGTTTTGACTAAAACGTTTCTTACGGTTCACAACGTAATGAAGTTGTCGATACAACATCGAGGTAGCAATCAATACAAGTTACCTCACATTGGCAAAGGTAAGCTTCGAGTCGATTTGACTCGTTCCAACGTATCGTGTGACGATGACTTTGTCATGGAAGCATTGATGATGTTGAATGCGCGTCTCAATGATGAGGAACACTTGGACGATCTTGTGAATTCCCAGGATCAAGCGAGCATCAGCTTGTAGTATAAATTATCCCAAGTCAATACAAATTCCAAGTTTCCTTGAGTTTCCCCGTTTGAATACAATGGTCAATACTAAAAAATGTAGGAATCAATGTGGACCAAATCAAAACGCCAAATGTCGGAATAATTGTGGACCAGAGTAATATCGGACAATAGTCGAAATATACTGCAACGATGTAGGGTCTGGACGAAATATATCGAATGTTTGGTGAACATAACTCACATGGCGTGAATCAGTTGTGCGTCTGTCCAAAAATGGTGTAGTAAGAACAAGTAAAATGATTACATAAGCAACAGTGGAAATGTTGCTCTCAGGGAATTACTGTTACATAGTATTGTCCTTTTCACCAAAATTTGGACTTTGGTGCTCATTCGCCAAATCTATCGATCGATTCTTTGTACTGATTTTTGTGTGTAAAAATCGTCCAGCGTCACGCTAATAGAAGTCACATGCTAATTCGATGTTGATTTGGTCGAAGATTGGTTTTGATTGGCTGCTTGATTCGTGTTCTCGGTTTTGATTGGTCGATCGATTGTCTCCCGATTTGGTGCTACTCATTCGATTGAGCACAACACCCCAATGTCGAATCGACTTGACAATACTACCATAGTACACCATTAATTCTCGGAGTACGTAGTACTACTACATAGTATCGTTCAATGTGCTTCGAGTTCGTTCTCAAACCTGGAAATTTCCAACAAATGAGACAACTGACTATTGGCTCCTTTCGAATGAAATAACTTTTCATTGGAATGTTCTTGGTGTAGTCCTACTACTGTACGTACCGGTTATATGGTGCATTTCAACTAAAGACTACAAAAATATGCCTTGTCTTTGGACAGCTATTCCAACTTTGTAATTGATATTTTTTTGGAGAATATGCCATAAAAACGATAGAACTGGTCAAGACCAACAGAAGTTACGGTTCAAAATTTCGTTTGGTGAAAAATTGATCGAGTAATAGAATTTAAACCAACTAGCCTTTTTGTATGGAAATATATGGATGGAGCCAGGCACATTTTGGCCGAAAAGGAGCATCTAGTATATCTTAGTCTTTGTATACAGCACTTATCCGTATGAACGTTTCTATTGTATCCGGATTATTCAGGATGTTTAACCTATTTACCAGATAAAAAACGTAAGTAATATTAATTTAACGTCAAAATTACGTGGGTTTAGCTGAAAGAACCCAGGCGTTTAAACTAAAACGTCTCCTCCTGAGGATGGCCGATTTGTAGTCTTTAGATGAAATGCAACATACTACGTAGAACGTAGTATGAGTACAGCTGTCATACGAATCTTCATATTCTGCATACCCGAAGTGGGTAGTCAGTCGAATTCCTGGTGGTGATGATGGTGGATGTCTCGCACCGGCGACACTTAAACCGAGTTACATGCGGTGCTTGCCAGTTGAGAAGAGTTTAGCGAGTACGAGGTATAAGGGTGCTTTGTATAATAGTAATGAGAAGTGAGGAGGTTGAATACAATTAAACAATTTTTGGTCAATACGGTCCACCAATTTATTATTGGTGCTGTTGATCGAACTGTCGAAAATAAATTATTGTTATCGCATGGACAGAAAATACATTATTTCAGTGGGACAATTACGATTAACTTAAATTGCAATTATTTTTTCCCCAGCCCTGGCTACCGCTGCACTTGGTAGCAACAGACAGTGGAGTACAGCGTCGTAAGAGCGCATCACAATACACTGTAGAGGCTGCAGAAGAGAGTGTATTGCAGCGACGATAAAGGAGTCCTCTACAACACCCCTCCGTCCACCATCTTCGCTGTACTCCACGGCCCGCCACTCGCACTCGGCGGGTGGAAGGTGGTGGATTGCAACGAAGATGGTAAAATGGTGTGGCGTGGACCTACGGGAAAGGAAGTACAGCGACCACGAAGGACGGCGACGACTGCACTCTTGGATGCCTTCGGTCGTCGCTGATTATTATGGAATATCTCCGCAGATTGAAGGTGCGGCACCGCCTTATAGGCAAAATGGAGAAACGGCCACCAATGCACTCAACGGTAGCAGGTATTGTAGTGGAGTACATAGATTGTGGACGACATCACAATATAGCGGTTGCGCCGCAGAGGGTGTAGTGTATTGGTGGACATTACAGTGGCCGTTCAGCATAGTCGTCACACTCCACTGTCCACTGCCGCGGCCACACTACAACGCCCTCCATTAGCGATGCACTCCTACACTCCACATACTCCACGGCCCGCCACTCGCACTCGGCAGGTGGAAGGCGGTGCAGCGTAAAGAAGATGGTGGACGTAGAAATGGTGTGGCGTGGACCTACGGAAAAGGAAGTGCATCACCGTAATGGACGACAACCACTACACACTACTGATCACCGCCAGTAGTGTACTCGACGGCAGCGGATTGTGGAGTATAGCGACGGTTGAGGATATCGCAATATAGCGCAGCAGGTACTCCATTCGTATGCACGACTCGGCGATTGCATTCGCATCCGTTTCTCCGCATAGATTGTGTGCTTCGGTGGAGATCACAGTGGCCGTCCACCATCATTACCGCATCCCACTATCCACCGCTGCGGCCACAATGTCCTCCATCATCGACGCACTCCTGCAATTCACTGCCCGCCACCGTCGCCTCAGGTAGCAGAAAGACGGTCACCACTGCACTCGGCGGACGGTGGAGTGCTGGAGTGCGACCATGATCGCCGGCAGAGCTCAAGCCGATAGAGCGACTGAGCGCCAGAATCGAACTCTCGAAGATGCGCTCAGATGCCAAGTGTCGTATCTAGGACAAGACTGGGTCGACCATTTGCCAACGATCGAGTATGCCCACCAAGGCTTAGTACAAACATCAACCGGCTTAACACCGTTCGAAGTCGACACAGGCCGCAAGTTGCGCAACCCTGCCGTGAGCAGCTCCTTGCCCAAAAATGACTTTGCCAAGAATTTTGCAGAACATCGCAAGGAAGTCATTAGGATGACTCACGAGAATTTGACGAAGACCCAAAAACGTCAGAAGGAGTATTATGACAAGCGACGTTCGAACGTGACCTTCAAGGAAGGCGATCAAGTACTGCTAGCGACTCGCAACCTGCCTTTAAAGCATGCCCAGATGCTCGACAAGTCCGAGCGTCCCAAGTTGGTTCCACGATTCATCGGTCCCTTTGAGATTGTCCAAGCCATTAACGACAACGCCATGCGCCTTAAGTTGCCACGCTCGATGTCACGTGTGCATGACATGTTCAATGTTGATCGACTTAAGCACTATCACCCCAACGAAGCCAAGTTTGCCTCCCGGCCTATCCCAAAAGCTACTCCTGTTGTTCTAGACGAATCCACCGGCGAAGAAATGTACATTATCGAGAAACTGCTCAAGAAGCGCCAGTTCAATCGCAAGTTGGAGTACTTGGTCAAGTGGCATGGACCACCCGAAAGCGAAGCCACATGGGAGCTTATGAAGGACATCAAGCATGTTGTGCACTTCAAGCAACTCGTCCATGACTTGGAGTCAAGGCGTTTCAAGGTGTAGCAAGACGTCAGGGGGAGAATGTAGCGATGTGACAGGTGGGGATAACGGCTTGCTACCACCTTGCCCGCACCCAGCTCCAAAGTACCTCGCTCATGACGCACCCTACTAGCTAGTGCTTGCCTGGGAATGTGTCTCAAGGGCAAGCATGGCTTAGAATCGCTAGCCTAGTGAAGTTCCCCAATGTCTCAACCGCACCCGCACCCATTGCATTCCACCTCATGCAGTGGGTCAAGAGGAACAAGCGCGAATGGCTCACGGTGTACTGCTGACAAACAAAATCGAGGCGGTGACGTTCAAATCGTTTCGTTGCCTACTCCTGCGCTTCGCATACCGCAACTGCTTTCGCCATCGAATTCCATGCCTCAGCAAGGCAACTCAACAAGTCTAGGACGAGGTGTGGCTTGGTTACGCCGCTACGTTTTGGAACAAGTACGGTCACTACGACAAAAAACTCATCGTGAACGTCGACGAGACATCTGTCTATTTTGACATGCCTCCGGGAAAGACATTGGCTGAAATCGGTCAGTCGAGCAAGGTGTCAGATGGTGTAGCGATGTGACAGGTGGGTTAACGGTTTGCCACCACCTTGCCCGCACCCAGCTCCTAAGTGCCTGGCTCATGACGCACCCTAGCTAATGCTTGCCTGGGAATGTGTCTCAAGGGCAAGCATGGCTTAGAATCGCTAGCCTAGTGAAGTTCCCCAATGTCTCAACCGCACCCGCATTCATTGTATACAAAAGTGCATATTAGTGTAGAAGTAGTGAAGTAGATTAAGAAGATTTCATAGTGATGAGGATTAAGGATATCTTTGTAGATCTTCAGTTAATTCATTGTGCATTTTGCCCTCAACTTCACACTCTTCCTCCCGCAGTGCTACACATGAAGAATGATGGTGTCCAAGGGTGACATGGCTGGACGGCCGGACATAGCGGTCACGGGGGCCACGCCGCCAAGGGATGAGGAGGGCAGCTGGTTCATGATGAGCATGACTACCATGTGGATCTCATTCCATTGGGTCGCCGCCATGCGCCACTCACTGAGGCATGCCCGAAACAGGCGTAGCAGCTGACGCATAACCACCTCGACGGTCCCATTAGCCCATGGACAGCGAGCAGTGGTGAAATGGTGGTGGGCGCCAAGGACATGCTGCAGTTCAGCCATGACCTGGTTCTTGAAATGGTGCCTTGATCGGAAACCCACTCGTTGCACACCCCAAACACAGCAAACCACTGAAGCAGACAGTCCTTGGTGGAAATAGCCACACCAGCTTGCTGGCGTCACACTTTATCACGAACAGGTACTTGTCGCCTGTCTTGGAGTCTCCCATAAACAGATAGTCCCAGTGCAGGAGACCATTTGGCATGGCAGAGTGTAGGGCTTCCCCCAAAGGTCTGAAACCACCAGATACGCTAGCGCAATGCAGACAACGGTCCACGTCGTTCTCCATGGTAGTCCACCAAAAAAAGGGCACCAAACTGTCCAGGGTTGGGCCTGAGGCTCGGTGGCCAGTTAGGCTAGCATGGACACACACACACATACGTAGCTGGAGTTCGCTGGCTTCATCTGGCACCCACAATACTTGGTTGACTAGTCGCAGCTGCCACAGGTCAGCGGTATCCAGCTTGATTTGATGCTCGGCCAGCTGGCTGGACTCTAGGGATAGAGCGGCGATGGTGTTGGTGTCCAGGCTGTCACGTTGGGCAGTCCCAATGGCTACAAGCGTAGGCCACTCGAAAGAGCTGCTCCGCAGAGGTGACATCATCAGTGGCTCTTGACTGATGGCACAAATGGCTTCAAAGGCGATCCCCAACGCGAGAGCAGATCAGCCCCAGGGATGTCGTGAATCTCGTATCTGTAACCCATCAACTGCAGGGCCCAACTTTCCAACTTTTGGGCGGTGTACTTTGGTACAGAGGCCACCGCAGCTGTCGGGTTGAATATGAACTTCAGGTTCCGATGGTCACTGTAGAGGTTGAAACCAGCGGCAGGATGCAACAGGTAGTCAGCCCGCACCAGTGTTTCCACGATGGCATAGGCTTCCTTCTCCACAATGGCCCAGCGTCCAGCTGCCCCCATGAATGTCCCACTCAGGAACATGAGGGGCTCGTTGGATTGGGCTTCAAACTGCAGATTCAACTGGTCGGGTGGAACTTGGGTGATGACTGTTTTCGGAGTCATCAGCGAACACACAGAGCCGCATCTCTGGCTTGGGGTGGCTGAGCTCCACCACCTTGGCCAGCACCTTTTTGGTGGCTTCCAGTGCGGCCACATGAGTGTCGTTCCAGCCAACGTCCGTCAGCAGCAAAGTAGCCGTCAGCTGATTGGTGCGTTTCCTCCCGACTGCAGAAAACACCCGTTTCAGCACAATTGTCAGATCCCGTACTAACACGTTGAAACCAGGGATGGACATTCGCATCCAATTGAGGGCGCATACATACTACTGGAGGTCGGCCCCAGTCTTGGGCTCGGGCAGTCGCTGTAGAGCTACCACTGGAACTGTGTCATGCTTCACTTCAGCGCCGCTAATGATACGGTCACACCACTTAGCTTCGTTTGCGAAGAATTGACACTTTTTTTGGGTGTAGCTTCAGGCCACGTTTGGCGCAAACTTCAAGCACTTCAGCTAGGGCCAACAGCAGGCCAACTGGTGTCTTGTGATAGCCCAGGAGGTCGTCCAACCAGGCTAACAGACACTTGTACAGCTGCTCAGCGAACATGGCTTGAACCGTAGACTGGCAATAGGCCACACTACGTACCACCTTGCATCACCCGATTAGATGTGTAGACACCAGTGTCCCTAAGGAACGAGAACATCTCTTGGCAGCTTAGATCCAACGAGAATTTCCAGTAGCCCTTGAAGAAGTCCAACATGAAAAGCAGGTGGCTCCACGCAGGTGGTCCACCACAACTTCCAACATGGGCATAGGCCAGGCAATCTGCTCCGTGTGGCTGTTGACTGGGCGTAGGTCCACCGTCATACGGACGAATTCCGTATGACGGTGGACCTACGCCCAGTCAACGTATGAGGCTTGCGCACAATCAGAAGGGCACACGCCCATCGGCTGGTTGGGTTTCGATAGATGAAACCAGCATTCTCCAGCTCTTCCACATGCTTCTGCATGAACTCACGCTGAGGGAGGGAATAGCGTCCAGCCTTGCAACGCACAGGCTTGGAGTTCTTTGTCGGATGCACCTTTAAAGGTGGCATGTCCACCGGTGGGTCGCGGCCAAGCGTAAGGCGGAAAACGTCCATATACTTGGCTAGGAGCTTGGATAGGCCCAGGGCAAACTCAGCACCACAGCCAGCTAACAGAGCGTCTGCCACCCTGGCATCCAGCACCGCCTGAACCTTGGCTAGTTCTACAGCTGGATCCACCGGTATCATATCAGGAAACAGGCGGCCAGCTCCATGGGCACCAAAGCTTCTTCCTCTTCGGCTAGATCATCCACCAGCTCTTGTTTGGTCGCCAGCATGACTGTCTTCACCACACCACTGGTAGACTCCACGTCTTTCATGTCGTATTCGCTGCACACCGCGGCAGCTTCACGTAGCTTAGACTGTGGGTCGCAGCCTAGCTTGTGCATGATAGGACGACTAAGCAGGATGTCACCCACACCAGCTGGCAGGTTACCGACAGAGAGCCAGCACTTGACTTTAGCCAACACCAGGGAGCCAACATCGGCCTCGAACTTGATCGGCAGCTTGACTTCTTGGGTCACCGTATGGCTGGGACCCACAAACCTCGGACCACAACAGGTGTCGGCAGATCCGTCACGACCACGTCACGCCCAGCGTCCTTCAACATCTGGAGCGTCTTGGGAGGGATCACGCTCTGGTGCGCACCACTGTCGAACGAGGCATCCAGAGCTACAGCCTGGCTGGCCGTGCAGACCACACGCGCAGCACACAAGACGGCGGATTCTTCACTCGGCTCAACTGTCTTCACCTCTTTGGCAATGGTTATCGCCTTCTCCGTCTTTGCCTTCGCCTCTGGCTTCGGCCCAGATGGCCTTGGCCCGATCCATCAACAGACGGGCTTCGCCATCGGCCACCTTGGGACACTTGAACACGTTGTGACCAGTGCTCAAACACTTGAAGCACTTCCCGCCTTCTGTGTGAAGTTGGTGATAGGGACCCTATCCACGTTGACAACGGCCACCGTCTTGTCCCTGCCACCACGGCCTCTCCCACCTCTTCCGCCCTTGTCACCAGTTTTGTCAGGCGTAGGCGTAGGCCTAGGAGGCAGAGGGGTAGCCTGTACCAATGGCTCGAATTCGCCGTAACGGCGCATATATTCGGCGAGCCAGTTCTTGAACGCTCGGGCGTCCTTCTTGTAGCCACAGAGGACGCAGCAGCTACTCGCAGTCCTTGGTCATGATGTTCGGTGGTCCGGCGTTGGGATTCCAACTGGGTCATCAGCAGTTCTGCAGGTCACGCTGCAAAGCCAGCTCGGCCATCAGCTTCTGGTTGAGCTCCATCTGAGCATTGGCTTGTAATTGTTGTTGCTGGTGGAGCACCATCAGCTGTTCGTATGTTTGTTGGCTTTGAGCACCAACAGCTTGCTGCACCGTGTCCAGCCGGGATGACTGTGCGTCCACGGCTTGGCCCATCTGCTGGCGCAGCTGCTGGACAGCAATGTCAGGAGGGTAATGGGCATACGGTGCAGTAGAGGCGTAGATGGCCTCCTGGGATCGGGTACGGGTCAGCACAAGGCCAGCCCCAGTGCGCGGCGACAAGGGAGTAGACGAAGCGTCTTCGTCCATGGTCACAGCAGGGAAAAGTAAGAACGCGCCTCGTCGACTAAGGCAAGCGTAGGGAACTCGGGCACGAAGTGTGTCCGCAGGAGCAAATGCACTAAAGAATTCTTTGTTGTCACTCCCGTGAAATATAGACAGGTAGATGGTAAGTTCAGAAGTGATTATATGAAGTTAGGTTCGCTTTGTAGCTAGCTAAAGAAATGCGCTTACTAGCTAAACGTAATCTACTTGGCTACGTCCGAATTCATATTGGTAAATGTATGTTCGCAGATGTTCGGATGTGGCCCAAAAGGTGAAAACCTGATTTTTGGTATCAGGATGAAATATGGAGTGAGTCAATCAAAATCCAGGATTCAGGGAAAATCACAGTTCTCAGATGTCGGAGAAACTTGAAGTCCCTTGTTCCATGGTTTTCGCCGGACAACAGAATCCATACACCAGCTCGACACCAGTTGCTGCGGCCAGCGCAGGAGGTTGAACAGGAGTGACGGTGAAAGCATGCCATCGGGTACTGCTACGCCGGCGCATTTCTTCCAATGCGTCGGAATGCTGGACGGAGGCCACAGCGGCGGCCCGGAGTCCTTGATGATGTTCGGACGTCGCACGCTGTGCGGTCAGCTGTTCTATCAAAATCTGCTGGTGGTCACGTTGGTGAGCCTCGGCGGCCATGAGCTGCTGGTTCATTTCCATCTGCTCTCAGGCCTGTACTTGTTGCCGCTGATGGAGAACCATCAGCTGCTCGTACGTCTGCTGCGTCTGGGCACCAACAGCTTGCTGCACCTAGTCGATGCGAGCCCCTTGAGCATCCACCGCCTGGCGCACTTGCTGTCCCAGATGGCGCACAGCCATTTCAGGAGGGTATTGCGCCACAGGGATGTCAATCGGCTGGGCGTATACATCTTCTTGGGACCGGGTCCGGTGTAACACCATGCCGGTCCGTCCACGTGGCGTCAACGGCAGAGGCTCGCCGTGATCCATTGAAGCAGCGTGGGGGGTATGGGTGTAGAGGTCTGAATAGGGCTTTGTCGACAAAGCCCACAGACTGGGGTAAGCGCTTTCAAACACAAGAGCGCGGAGCAACTCACTGAAGAATTCTTTGTTGTCGCTCCTGCCTTGGAACAAACACGCTTGACACTAACGAGGTCAATTCAGAAGTATATTAGAGGTTAAGTTCACTCTCTATCTGGTCGACTACATCTTAACTCATCTTGCAAATGGTATACTAAAGGAAACTGACCAATCAAAGCACAGTATTCGAGGAGAATTCAACAACACCAAATATTCGGTGCTGTGAAGTTGCCTTTCGGTGGGCCCGTCATTTCGCCGACTACACCTAATTTACTCTCATATGTCGAATTCGAGCTGCCATTTCAGCCCTGTGTGAAGTTGTTACGCGATGAAGCTGTTGCGGGTTCCGATCTATTTTCTCTAAATATACGAATACTTCAAGCGCGAAATCACCTGGGGTTGCCTTCATACAGTGATTTGTCCATGCAAGTTTTACCGTATCGATAAAATTGGGGTCGTGTACAACGGTAAAAGTTCGACTGCTTGGTGTGGAGTGAAGGCTTGACAAGCACCAGGAAGTCGGGTTCGATTTTGAGCGTTGATTTAACCTTCTTCGTCGTTTGAAGCTCGTCATACCGCACAACAATGGCCTGGACTCCGTCCGATATTCGACACCGGATGGACGCGAAGAAGTCTTCAACAGTGTCGTACACGAGACTGGTCGGTGGTTGCTCCGCATAGATACGCTGTTAACTGAGCGGCACTCCAATTTTGACGCTTAGTGACACAGTCACCCGGTCGACATTTCGAGAGCATCTCGAGCCATCGCTTCACGAAGCGGTGTGAATTATAGTTCGACATTATTGTGGTTTCATAAATATCTAGGTAGTTAATTCCAAAAGACTACACCTTTTCCCGATCAAACTGGCAGTTTGTTCCAATCAAAGTGGCCATATAAAATATAAAACGTTTGAAACAAATACAATTGATACAAAAAACATACAATATTCCATTCAAAGTGGTTTTTGTTCCATTCAATGTGGCACAAATCACTTCCCATACTGCATGTTTTCCAAGTTCAGTGCCTTCTCGATATTGCGCTGGCAAAACATCGCTTCGCGGATCACTAAGTATTGAGTAATGCGCGGGAGGAATTCAGTGGCAGCTTCTTCAAGTAATCGCATACGACTTTCCAAGTAGGAATTAAAGTCCCTACGGTCAAAAAGTGCGTTCCGCGAGATAGCCATTAATCTTCGCCTTCAAAACGCTAAAGCAACTTTCGATAGGATTTAGCATTGGCGAATATGGCCCTAGGCGAAGCAGAACCAAGTCGTCGTGCGAAGCAACCCGTTGCTCCGTCTGCGAATGGGCCGGGGCGTTGTCCAACACAATCACCACCTTCTTACCGACAACACTGGTCGTGTAGGCCTCCGACGCTTTTGCCGCTCGGTAAACTTCTTCCACAAACTGTGCGTTCTTGTCCATTTTGATGCTACCCCGCTCCAAACGATGGCAAACGAGGCCGACTTCGGCAGACAAGGCACACTGAACTTGCAGGTTCGGGTCTTTCGATGGCGGCAGCACAATGGTCGCCCGAGTCCCTTGTTTCGAGCGTCCAACCCACCGAAGACAGTAAATGTTGAAGTTTGTCTCGTGTTACACAATGAAGTCCCCATTTCGCTGATATTTGACAAGTGCTGCTGCAAACTCCTTGCGCTTGGCCTTGTTTTCGTCGCTGTTGCATGTCGATGGCTCAATGCGCACTTCTTTAGCCGAATACAGCATCCGGAGTAGATATCGGCTGATCATCTGATTGGACAGTTGGGTGCCGGGAAAGTCCAACGCAATGAACTCTTGCATGGCTGTCAAGGTGAACTGGTAGTTGGTGTCGAGGTAGCGCTCGAGTGGAGCGAGTATGTCAGGGGTGACTTTGGTCCGGCTTTGTCTCGCGCCGCCTCTTGGCTTATTGGCGATCTGGCCGGATTTGACGATACGTCGGACCGTGGAGAGCGCGATGCCATTGTGCTTGGCAACAATCTACCAATTCGCACCGTCGGAGTATGCTGAGATGATTCGTTTCTTCTCTTCTGTGGCCGGTGCCGAGCGTTTGTACTCATGCTTTGCGGGTAAGTTGGAAAATGGCCGATGTTTCGAGCGTCCAACCGACCGATGACAGTAAATGTTGAAGTTCGTCTCGTCGTAGTACACAATGAAGTCCCCATTTCGCTGGTATTCGACAAGTGCTGCTGCAAACTCCTTGCGCTTGACCTTGTTTTCGTCGCTGTTGCATGTCGATGGCTCAATACACACTTGTTTGACTGTATACAGCATCCCGAGTAGATGTCGGTTGATCGTCTGCTTGGACAGTTGGGTGCCAGGAAAGTCCAACGCAATGAACTCTTGCATGGCTGTCAAGGTGAACTGGTAGTTGGTGTCGAGGTAGCGCTCGAGTGGAGCGAGTATGTCAGGGGTGACTTTGGTCCGGCTTTGTCTCGCGCTGCCTCTTGGCTTATTGGCGATCTGGCCGGATTTGACGATACGTCGGACCGTGGAGAGCGCGATGCCATTGTGCTTAGCAACAATCTACCAATTCGCACCGTCGGAGTATGCTTATATGATTTGTTTCTTCTCTTCTGTGGCCGGTGCCGAGCGTTTGCACTCATGCTTTGCGGGTAAGTTGGAAAATGGCCGATGTTTCGAGCGTCCAACCGACCGATGACAGTAAATGTTGAAGTTCGTCTCGTCGTAGTACACAATGAAGTCCCCATTTCGCTGGTATTCGACAAGTGCTGCTGCAAACTCCTTGCGCTTGACCTTGTTTTCGTCGCTGTTGCATGTCGATGGCTCAATACACACTTGTTTGACTGTATACAGCATCCCGAGTAGATGTCGGTTGATCGTCTGCTTGGACAGTTGGGTGCCAGGAAAGTCCAACGCAATGAACTCTTGCATGGCTGTCAAGGTGAACTGGCAGTTGGTGTCCAGGTAGCGCTCGAGTGCAGCGAGTATCTCAGGGGTGACTTTGGTCCGGCTTTGGCTCGCGCCGCCTCTTGGCTTGTTGGCGATCTGGCCGGTCTTGACGATACGTCGGGCCGTGGACAGCGCGATGCCATCGTACTTGGCAATAATCTGCCAATTCGCACCGTCAGAGTATACTGCGAGGACTCGTTTCTTCTCTTCTGTGGTCGGTGCCGAGCGTATGCCGTCTGCACTCATGCGTTGCGGGTAAGTTGGAAAATGGCCGTCTGCGTGTATTTTTGTCAAATCAAAGGCGGGTATTTCTCGCGCCTGAAATGACCACTTTGATTGGAACAAAAACCACATTGAATGGAATAAGTCCACGTTGCATGATTTGCCAAATTTTATATTTTATATTTGAACCACTTTGATTGGAACAAACTGCCAGTTTGATCGGAAAAAGGTGTAGTGTTTTATTTGAATTTGTAACGATGATACAGTTCATGTGCATCGCTTTTAACGTAAAACCGACACCAAAACAAGTGCAAAGCACAATACGTAGTACTAGTAGTAATTAGGATATGGTCAAATATTAATGTTGGATGACATATCCCAACGTCAGGTGGGATGCTGTTGGAGAATAATTCTCCCATAGCGGATGACGCATGATACTAACGTTATCACAGATCTTTGAAAACACTCCGAACACTACAAACATTCATAAATCAGACAAGCATTCATAAATCACTCACAAATGAGAACTGGAAGCGGGACTTAACGAAGAGCGCGAAGCCAACCTACGTGAAACCTTGTTGAAGAGTAATGGTGTCTACTCCACGAGACTGCCAAACGGATTTGGCCAACACCTAGCCAACAAGTGCAACTGCCACATCGGCACCATACGCAAGGTGCTCGCGCGTGCTAAGAGTCAAGGAATTGTCGATGGCAACATGAACGTGTTGGTAGCGATCTTGAAGGAAGGAAGGTGTGTAGAAAGTACTAGTGGGACATGTTGTGTACCGTTACGCCTCCACAACAGTGCTACTGTATACACAATTATTACTACCGGTAGTATGATTTACAAAGAAATATACTACTAATATACTAAATTTAGTAATACATATTGTGAGAGTAGTATACACGTATGGTATCTAAAGAACGATTTGGTGGGTATCTTAGACGGCTGTACCCAAACCGCTTTATATTGGTCAAAATTGTCCAATTATTTCGCTCTAGCCAAGCACAGAAGTCGCAGTAGTAGTAATGGCCAATCCGAACACATTGGAAAGAAATTAGACCACCTTATTGAGTTGTATCTATTTCGATCGGATTTTACTCACATTTTCGGGGGTACAGACCCATAAGGACAACGGTAGTAAGTAGTACTGTACTTGTCCTCTTGCTGAACTACTAGTACAGTACTAAGTAGTATGTACAGTACTCAAGCTTACTACAGTAGTGTACTAGTAGTAGTAGTACAGTAATACACATGAGTCGTCTCAGAAAATGAGCATTGTGCTGGGAAAAGCTACTACTAGTACCGTATACCCCCGCTTCAGTACCTATGATTTCTCCGGTTGGTCTTGGAAGTATCGGCCAAAGACGAACATTTTTTATCGATCGTTCTGGTTGGTTGTGTACCTACTGGAGTTATCTCTAATTGGACAAAAATACCCAATCACCACCAATGAAATATACATCCTGTAAAGGATTTAGCCCACGCGCATGCCTGAGTAGTTTTCAAGGTCCGCTTGGACCTGTACCGGTTTTGATCAGATTTCACTGACATTTTCATAGGTACTGAAGCGGGGGGTATACCGTAGTACTATTTTCAGTACAACTCTGATGTAAATCTGATACTAGTACCAGTACTCACCACTATGGTGTTTCTCAACTACACGTACTACGCGACCCAAAGTCATGTATTCACTCTTCCTAACCATTCTGACTTTATTGAACCCTTCATCACCACGTCCCCCGCATCCGTCCCTATTACGACCAAGCTTTCTGTCGGCCCCACGGCTGACCGGACAACGTCCAAGCCCCTACTGCGGCCCCGATTACCACGATCCCTACCGTGGCTCCTATCACCACTGCCAAAGTTCCTTCGGTGGGCCCCACTGTCGCCACTACGACTGCGTCGCCGTCCAAGAGCAATGGCTGCTCAACTGCTTCTACCCTACGCTGAACCACTGCTTCCCCGTACATACACCAAGCCGACCTGTGCCACGTTCGTGGGAGCGTTCTGGTGCAGTAACTAATTCCTATGTACGATGTCGGAACAGTTGATTCGACGGTATTTTCGATACATATAGTAACGTGAGCAATATACTGTGGCACCGGTATCAGAGTGGAACTAACGTTACTCTAGCAGCTAGAGTAACGTTTCGCATAAATGTTGAAGCTAAAGTCCAGCTTCAACATATATGCGAAATAGTGGAAACCACGCAATGAAAACCAGAACTTTATATTGCGTCTGCTCCATATAATATACTGCCATCTGTCCAATTGCCTCATAATACTAGTATAATGTACCAGGGTACACCAACGTTACATGAAGTAGACGTCCAATCTATGCAAAGCCGTTGTTCTAACCCCAACAAGGGCAAGAGTATCAAGTCAGCTCAGATATGTCAAGAATTTACGCGTACCTCGGTGCGTGTGCGACAGGGCTTGGACTGATATGTACCCACTGATCAATCTTGTCCGATAATTTACTGATATCACTTAGGTTGCTCGGCCTTTGGTTCAGGTTTCATTTTTGAATTTGCCAATTTATGAACGTTCTGTTTGTCTTGTCTGCTCTCTTCGCTGCCTCCACGACCGTCGTCGCCCAAGAAGAAATTGTCGGCGGCGTCGAAGCTGCAGTTGGCCAGCACTTGTACGTGTCCGGATTTCGCAGCACCGAGACGGGGGCTTCAACGTGCGGATCCAGTTTGATTGCCCCCAACGTCGTCTTGACCGCCGCCCACTGCATCGGAAGAGGCCGCAAGTTTGTGTCGATCGGGTCGCATTACAAGTCCGGCACCAACGACGGCGAACGCATCAAAGTCAAGCGATTCATCAAACATCCCAAGTACAACGCCGGGACTACGAGCTACGACTTTGCCATCTTGATCTTGGAACAACCGTCCAAGTTCCCTCCGGTACAGGTCTCGTTCGACACTGTTGCGCCTGGCACCCCTACGATTTTGCGCGGGTGGGGCCGTACGTCTTCGGGCGGAGCTTCTTCCCAATTGCTATTGGAAGTCGGTGTTGATTCCATCAGCAACGAAAAATGCGCTAAGCTCTTGACCGGATTTACCGTGAACGAAGCCATGCTGTGTGCGGGCGGTAAATTGGGCGAAGATTCGTGCCAAGGCGACTCTGGCGGACCGTTGACGGTGGAATCAAATGGCTCTGTCAAGTTGGTGGGAGTGGTCAGCTGGGGCATCGGATGTGCCCAGCAGGACAAGCCTGGCGTGTACAGCCGAATCTCGATCGCCCGCGACTTCATTGAACCCTTCATCACCACCCCTCCCGCCGCAGTCCCCATCACCACCAAGCCTTCTGCTGCCCCCACGGTCTCCCCTATTACCAGCAAGACCCCTACTGTGACCCCGAGTACCACGAACCCTACCGTGGCTCCTATCACCACTGCCAAAGTTCCTTCGGTGGCCCCCACTGTCGCCCCTACGACTGCCTCGCCGTCCAAGTGCAATGGCTGCTCTACGTGCTTCTACCCTATCCTAAACCACTGCTTCCCCCCTGCGTACTCCAAGTCGACGTGTGCCACGTTCGCGAGCTTGGGGGCGTTCTGGTGTGGCAACTAGTTTTATTCGAGGTTAGAGTGAGAGCGGTTTATTATTAATAAATTTGATTGCTTGTGTAATTGAGTGGACCTCTTCACAGTCAATAGGGGATATCATGAAGGTACAGTAGTTTTTCATACAATGTACAATTAGTGCAAGATTTGGGGGGTCATGAGTGTTTCTGGGTCAACCCCAAATTATTGTGTTGTGATCGAATAAAGTCGGACATCTCATCCGACTCAATTCTGATTGGCTTAAATTCGATCTAATTATCGTTTACTTTTTGCTGCATCATTTGGGGTCACAGTCTGTGAATTCCGACTTCATTGTGCTCCTACATCCACAATTTTGAGAAATACTGTAACGCCCAATAAATATGGGTGCCGTACAATCCATTAAGTAGGGTGTATATGCGGGAATGCCATAAAAACCCGGATTACGTCTACGTTTTCTAGCCAGCCGTGCAAATGTGACCATCTTCATTTGGAACATACGAAGCTGACGTCCAAGTTCAGTGAAACCAGGATGATGGCAAATTGGCCATTATATGCCAAATGCAATGCAGCTATAGCCGTGGCCGAGGTGTAGGGACGACCCAAACCAGTGCCAATCGTGCTGTTATAAACGTTTTGGAGCTCCTGCACCGCGAACTTCCACTCATACAACATATTGCCTTGATTCTTGGTCAAGTCCCGCAACTTGATCTTGTACACCCAGCTAGCAACGACAATACAGTACAGTACCTTAGAGCCTGGTACTACTGGTGATGTGGAGTACTAACCAACCACTACTACCACAGCCACACCCACAGCCACCACACAGCAATCACTACTGTTCATCCTACGCCCACCAGAGCAAGACCAACCACTACTACCACAGCCACACCCACCACTACTACCACAGCCACACCCACCACCACAGCAATCACTACTGCTCG